GCTGGGGGAGGAGGGAGACTGAGTTCACTTCAAGCACTGCCTGCACATGATTCTGTCATCACAATCCCACAGCGGTTGTTAGGTAGTGTTTTGAGGCTGATTTGCATCTTTCTGATGGTATGTGATGCAAATACACGGTTATATCAGTGGTTGAGATTTACCACTGGCGTTCATTAAAGGCCCCAACTGCCATTCAGAAGAGTTAGTTATAATCAGTAGTCATATATTCCAGCCAGAACGCAGATAGCTTCTAATAAAACTTGCTTCTGTCTTCTCATTTTGTGATCAACATGATCATTAACATTTCCATCACAGTTCTTTCTTCCACAACAGCCGTGTCCACATTTGTATCAGATTATCATCATCTATCTTTCTTTCAATGCAGAGGATAAATTTTGAACTAAATACTACAGTCTATACTCAGTCAGCCATAAGAGTTAGCAATGATTTCGCCAAAAAGATCAGGATTTGTGTGTATTTACATTATTTATAAGGGAAATAGTATATTCACATTTTTTTTTCAGGGTAATACTGTTTTACATATGTCTTTTCTCCCTAAAAGATTTTGTACTATTCCTCAAAAGTAATTTTATTGTCAAATTCTAATTCCAACAGATCATGATATCTTTTACAAAAGCATTTATAAGCAAGCAAATTAAAGCTGCATAGTGGGAATTCATAACATATGAGCAAGTAAAAGAAAGGACGTTTCTGTATTTTCTGTTATATTTATTGTGCTTTTCACTGAATAGCTTTCATTTTAAATAAGTATTTATTTTTCATATACAGGAAATACTACTATCAGTTAGGCTTTAACAGGATAGATTTTATGAATCCACATACTTTAGGGACATTCCCACAGCCTCCTCCAAGAGAAACTGATGCGTTATGGTCTAGACAAGTAGTCCATGCAGTGGGTGGGGATCTGGCTGACAGGCCGCACCCAGAGGGTGGTGGTAAATAGCTCTTTTTCCATGTGGCAACCTGTCACCAGTGGGGTCTTCCAGGGATCAATATTGGGCCCAACACTGTTTAATATCTTCCTAAGTGATCTGGATGATGGGATCAAGTGCACCCTGATGAAGTTTGCGGATGATACCAAACTGAATGGGGAAGTAGACACTTCATAAGGGAGAGCCACCCTGCAGGATGACCTCGATAGGCTGGAAGAGTGGGCTAACAAGAATCTTATGAAGTTCAACAAGGACAAGTGTAAGGTCTTGTACGTGGGAAAACATAATCCAGGAGTGCAGCAGGGACTGGGATCCACCTGGCTGGAGAGCAGCTCTGTGGAAAGGGACCTGAGGGTCCTGGTGGGCGACAAGCTCAATATGAGTGAACAGTGTGCTACAGTGACAAAGCAAGCCAACAGGGTGCTGGGCTGCATCAACAAGGGCATCACCAGCAGAGATAAAGAAGTCATTATCCCACTCTGCTCAGCGCTTGTCAGGCCACACCTGGAACACTGTGTTCAGTTTTGGTCCCCACTATACAGAAGAGATGTGTACAGGCTGGAGAGGGTCCAGAGAAGGGCCACCAGGATGATCAAAGGACTGGGAAGCCTGCCATATCAGGAAAGGTTAAGAGAATTGAGTTTGTTCAGCCTCGAGAAAAGAAGGCCTAGAGGAGACCTCATCACCATGTTCCAGTACTTAAAGGGTGGCTACGAAGAAGATGAAGACTCCCTTTTTACAAAATGTCAAGACAAGGGGTAACGTTACTCCTGGGGAGATTCCGATTGGACTCTAGAGGAAAATTTTCCCAATGAGAACAATCAGCCATTGGAATAATCTCCCCAGGGAAGTGGTGGATTCCCCAACATTGGACAATTTTAAGATGCAGCTGGACGGGGTGCTGGGCCATCTCATCTAGATGGTGCTTTTGCCAAGAGAGTTTGGACCAGATGATCCTTGAGGTCCCTTCCAATGTGATATTCTCTGATTCTCTGATTCTATGATCTAAACATAAGAATTAATCACAAAAACTAGGATGGAATGACTAGTGCATTTTCAAGATCTGCTGTATTTTTCTACATTCTTTGCTTTTTAAAAATAAACAATAGTTTTCTTGCATATAATTATATAGAACCCCATTCCCCCAGATTTAAATAGACACTTTGACCCAAGATTAGAAAACAAGGTGTTGGTTACATCTGTACATTCACAGCAGGAAATCATTAAGTTTTGACTTAGTGTACAACTTTTTGAAAGTTCAGAGGTTCAGAGGTTGATATCAGCTCTCAGCTATGTATTTGAGATAACTATTGGAGCAAACCAACACAATTTCAGATAAGAATCTGGGAAAATGAACACAATAGAAAATTCAAAACAAAAAGACCTGAAAGTAATTAGGAATACAAAATGAACTAAAAAACATGTGCAGTGTCATATATTTCTTAGCTTTTCCAAATTTTTGTAGCTACCAGCCTTGATCCAACAATATATGCAAGCATCTATGTATAATTAGATTAGACACTTGCATATTTTCTCCCTAAATAGTTTGCTTAACTGGTCTTTTAGTAAAAAAATTGACTAGCCTTTTATTACGTGCGTGTAGGGTAGCCATCAGATTTCTATGCTGCATAAAGAAATAATCGTACAAATAACATCTACATTTCTCAACTATGATCTTGCACTGTTAATATTTGGTGTGTGAAAATTTTTTTTTTCTTAACCTTGATATAATTTTGACACTTCAAATTGTGATAAGGATAAATTGTGAAAAGGATAAATCGTGATAAGGATATTCTCAACTTTACTGGTGTGGTTTTGGTTCTGGGATACAATGCACACTGTATTTTATAGCCTGCAACTGGCATTTTAAGCAGCACGATGGAGGGTAGATCATCATTTATGCCAAGAAGCTCATTTATGTAAGCTACAATGTCAAGTTTAATTAAGGGCTACAGTGACAAAAGAAAGCCGGTTGCATGTGCTCAAAATACTTTTCATATGACAAATGACTGACACCCATTAAAAACAATATCCAGGGTAATTATTAAGGTTATGATACTTAAACCTGACTAAAAAGTTCTCAGGCAGTATATTCCAATAGGTTAACACTCTACGAGATTTAAATCAAAAAATCAAATAAATCAAACAATCTATTGTCTTAAATTCAGATTTGCAGTCAGGGTCTTTCTGCATGGAGGGAAGGAAAATATACATGGCAATTAGGAGCATTTGTATCCCCACATTTTCTGTATTCAGCTCTGTGAGATTTTATAATCAGTAAGTTTGTAACTTGCTTACCACAATGGCTTTATGATGATCCCTGGTCAAAGTAAATGTATAGAGAAAAATCTGGTGGCATGATTTATTTTGTGTTCTTTGTCCCTGCTCTGCACACTCAGTGTTTGGGAAAACAGTCAAAACCTCTTCTGCCTAATCCACATCAACATCTTTCTCTGTGGCAACCATACCATAAAGGGGGAGGTGATGTTAGGAATAAAGGTCAAGATGATAGAATATGACAACTCTTTGAATTGAAAAGAGAAATGAGTGTCCCTAAGTATTCAGCATGAGCTTCTCTTTGCTCCCTGCAGGGCATCTGCACCACAACCACCGCATTTTTACACTTCTTCTTCTTAGCTTCATTCTGTTGGGTTTTGACAGAAGCGTGGCAGTCATATATGGCTGTTACTGGAAAAATTAGGACACGGCTCATAAGGAAACGTTTCCTGTGCCTTGGATGGGGTAAGTCCATAAAATTCATTTCCTCAGAATCATTGGAATGAAATGTTTAATGCCATGACAATGCCAAGAATATCATCATTTTCTTCAGTAAACCTGAAAGATAGTAGACCGCATGGTACTAAAAAGAAGACTAGGTTAGGAACCTTTCCACTTTATCTCAAACTCAACCTATGCTGTTGTACACTTTAGCATTCTTTTATAAATATGTTTTAACAAAATTTTAGAAGATTTTCAGCAAAGTAATAATATCAAGAAATTAAAATAAAATAAGAAAAAACATTCACTGAATATTCATGAAGCCTCTTCCTAGTTCACTTTACAACCTGTCAAATGTACTAGTAATTTAGCTACATCAAAGTGGTGCACCGTGGGCAGAAAACAGTGTCCTCCTCCCTGCCAGTGCTTCAGAAAAACAAATCCTGCAATAGCACTGTGCTTCATTAAATGATTCATTCCATGTAAAATTAGCTTGCCCTGTCATTTTTTGTCCGGGCAGAACAGCAATATTTTGCTCATCATCTAATGGTTATTACTGTTTTGGGTTTTTTTCAGGTTTACCAGCATTGGTGGTTGCAATATCAATAGGCTTTACCAAGACAAAAGGATATGGAACAGCCCACTAGTAAGTCAATCTGAAATGATAAATTATATTTTTAATTAACAAGACTGTCATACCCATCAGGAATTACATAGCATAGTCTAAAAGCCCTACAGGTATCCATTCACACTTGGAACTGCCCTAAGAGTCACAGAGTGGGCCACAAAAGAACAAAAAGAAAACCATATGTCAGTCTTGGACTGAGCTCAGCAAAGCACCAGGGATCCTGGATTTCTTGTGAGGATTTGAAGTAGCAAGCCTTTTAGAAACACTGAGGTTTAGGTCCACTTAGACACCTAACATTAATATGCATTTACCAAAGAGAACCTTACTGTTATGGTTGGCTTTTGCCAACCTTTAAACATGTCTAAAACTTCACTGGCAAGCGTCTCTTTGGCACCCCAGTTTCTCCCCACCTAGCATATACCTCGGCTGTAACGCCCCGAGCTGCTTGGAACCAAAGCCTCGCAGAAATCTCAAAATAGCTCTCCCATCCATCCCCTCTGTCCTGGAGTGCCTGGTCCAGCCCATTTCCTGGGCAAGGAGAGACAGCTCAGGAGGAGATCCGTGTACTTCATTTGCATTTTATTAATACAGTTCCTGTTTAGCCACTTGTCAGGTTACAGTGTGTGTTTAGCGCCCTGGAAAATTCACTCCTCAGTGAGACTGTCCTTC